CCGGTCAAGTCCCACCAGGTGGGGAGCATGGCCTGAGATCCCCTGTCAAACCCCATGGTGGTGGAGGAGGGTCCCTGCTGATTACTTGTCTCAGGTTCCTGCAGATTACATGTTAAGGCTCCTTGTGGGAACTTGGCCTCAGCTGTGGGTGCAGCCATCTTTGTGACGAAGTGATGGTCAATTAGTATATTCCCCCTTTATTAGGATATCCTATCTAATAAAAGAATGATATGCAAATTACCATCATTCTGCTACACCCACAAGCCATGCCCTCCAGCCACACATACCAGCCAATCAGAGTGAATATGCAAATTAACTTCAACCAAGATGGCTGCAGCCACAGAGAGCAGGAGGCTGGGTAGAGCTGAGTGGGGCGGGGGCTACTGGGAGCCACAGAGGGGTGGGGCCTGAGGAGAGCACCTGACAGAAACCCAGACTGCAAAGAAGGAAGAGGAAGTGGCCACAGGGAGCGCTTCCAATCCCCTTGCACAGACACCCTACCCCAACCCCCACACCCTCTGGGGGATGGGGAGGCTGACCAGATGGGGAGAAGATCCAGCCTCAGGGGTAGCCACAGCCTGCACATTCAAGTCCCCATCTGTTCCCCTGCCACCCTGCCAGGGGTGCCCACCACAATAGCACTCCAGAGACCACCCGGAGCCCTCCCCTCGGCCTGCCGCCACCTGGCCCCCTCTGCTGGGGCTGGGCACACCTCTCCTGCCTACAACTCAGACCTGGGTGGAGGCAGGCCTGAGCAGCCCCCAGGGTCAGACCCATCCCCCCACCCCCCCGACAGCAGCAGCACCTTCTCTGCAGAGGAAGCGCACTGAAGCTCACCCAGGGCACGGCTCACCTTCGGAGCCCACCTGACCCCCCTGGCCTGGCCCCAGCCCCACTCCAGGCGACTGGAGCCCCGCCCTGAGCACATACAGCTGTGAAACGCCCAAGTACACTTTAAAGAGTGGCACTAAGCGGGAAGGTTTGACAGTTACTCCCCCTTTGGCCTCGCTGCCCCCCTAATGCCCCGCCCCCTGCCAGCGCCCCCAGAGATGACCACCCAGGCTGCTGGCCAGAGCCCGCCCCTGCGAGGCCTGCGGAACCCTCTGCGAAGCTTCCATAGCTACAGTCCCAGGAAACAATCATGCCCTCCACCTCCAGTCAGCACCTGCTTCCTGCGAGGGTACTGGTGGGCTTAAAATAACATTCCCTTCCATTTAGACATCACTAACTGGATGGAACATTTCTAGGTTTATTAGCTCAGAACTTCCTCATGACAACCCAGTGAGGTAGGTGGAGAAGAGATTACAATTCCATGGTATATACATATGTATTCAGAATTGAAGCTCAAAGAGAAAAAGTGTCAAGCCCAGTGGTTTCCATGGTGTAGCACATGCCCCTCAGGGGGTCGATTTGATTTTAAGTGGGGGCACTTGGAGAATGAGTTAACAGTGAATTTTTTTTTTGCATTTCTTATGGTTCTAGGGGGCCTCCTTTACAGTGTATTCTACATAATAAAAGGCTAATATGCGAATGGCCAAATGACAGGTCACTATATGCTCATGGACCACCAGGGGGCAGACACTGAAACTCAGGAGTGCTCCCACAGGGGGAGTGCCAGCCAGAAGCCGGGCTCACAGCTGGCCTGCACAGTGGCAGTGGTGGGAGCCTCTCCCGCCTCCGTGGCAATGCTAAGGATATCTGACTGATTGCTTAGGCCCACTAAGCTATCAGTTGACAGACTCCCAGGGCTCCCAGACTCTGAGAGGGCACAGGCCAGGCTGAGGGAACCCCCAAATGCATGAGTTTCACGCACTGGGCCTCTAGTGTACACTAATAAAAGAAAGATGCAAATGGACTGTACCTTCATGACACCTGCCAGCCAATCAGGAGTGAGTATGCAAATTAACCCAAGAAAGATGGAGAGTGAATTTGCATACACAGATGCCCAGTGGCCAGGGGTGGTCTGGGCCTCTGGGCAGCGTGGGAAGGTGGAAAGGCAGCTCCAGGCTAAAGCAAAGGCAGTGCCGGCAGCCAGGGGAAGGAAGGCCCATTCTTGCAGGAATCTTTGTGCATCAGGCCTCTAGTGCTATCTAATAAAGAAATAATATGCAAATATAAATATATTTATATAAAATAAATATATTTTATTTTATAAAAATAAAATATATTTATTTTATATTTATGTAAATATAAAATGTAACTATTATATTTTATTTATATAAATATAAATATATAAATTAAATATTTATATATTTATATTTATATATTTAATAAATATATGGATTAAATATATATAATAAATATATATGTTTATATATATATATATATATATATATATATTTTAGAGGCCTGGTGCACGGAATTCATCCAAGGGGGGCAGGGGTTGTCCCTCAGCCCAGTCTGTACCCTCTCTAATCTGGGACCCCTTGAAGGATGTCCTACAGGGATTGGGCCTAAACCGGCAGTCAGACATTCCTCTCGCAATCCAAGACTACCGGCTCCTAACCACTCACCAGCCTGCCTGCCTGCCTACCTGCTTGATTGCCCCTAACCACTCTGCTTGCCGGCCTGCTGGCCCCCATCTGCCCTTTGCTGCAGGCCTGTTTGCCCCCAAATTTCCGCCCCCCCGCCAGCCTGATCACCCCCAACTGCTCCCCATATCAGTGTGCTTGCCCCCAACTGCCTCCCCTGTTGGCCTGCTCACTCCCAACTGCCCCCTGCTGGTCTGCTCACTCCAAACTTACCCCCCACTGTTCTGATCACCTCCAACTGACTCCCACTGATAGTCTACTCACTCCCAACTGGCTCCCTTGCTGGTCTGCTTACCCCCAAAGGCCCCGCCCCCCCACCAGCCTGATCACCCAAAACTGCCGTTCCCATCCTGGCCTGATCACCCACAATTGCCCTCCCCTCTTAGCCTCTAACACTGCCTCTACCTCAGCCCTGCCACCATGGCTTTGTCCAGAAGAACATCCAGAAGGTCTCCTAGAAGGTCTCCTAGTCTAATTAGCATATTACCCTTTTATTACTATAGATCATCATACCTAATAATAGACTACCATGTAAATCGACCGTACCTCCTCTACACCCACAGCCAATCAGGGTGAGTATGCAAATTAACCCAACAAAGCATTGACTTATGAACCAGGAGTTCATGGTTTAATTCACAGTCGGGGCACATGCTCAGGTTCTGGGCTCAATCCCTTCCCTGTGTGGGGCATGTAGGAGGTAGCCAATCCATGATTCTTTCTCATCATGGATGTTTCTATCACTGTCTCCTTCTCCTTTCCTCTCTGAAATCAAGAAAAATATAAAAAATAAACAAGGCCTTTGGTGATGGGGGTTGTCATTGTGAATATGCTGATCCCTACCCAGCAGGGCAATGAATATTATTAATAACTAGAGGCCCAGTGCACGAAATTCATGCGTGGGGTGTGTGTGTCCCTCAGCCCAGCCTGTTAACCTCTCCAATCTGGGACCCCTTGAGGGATGTCTGACTGCCTGTTTAGGCCCGAACCCGGTATAATCGGGCCTAAATGGGCAGTTGGACATTTCTCTCACAATCCAGGACTGCTGGCTCCCAATTTCTCATTTGCCTGCCTTCCAGGTTGCCCCTAACCGCTTCTGCCTGCCAGCCTGATCACCCCTTAACCACTCTCCTGCCAGCCTGATTGATGCCTAACTGCTCCCCTGCCAGCCTGTTTGCCCCTAACTGTCCTCCCCTTCAGGACTGGGTCCCCCCAATTGCCCTTCCCTGCCGGCCCAGTTGCCCCCAACTGCCCTCCCTTGCAAGCCTGATCCCTCCCAACTGCCATCCCTGTTGGCCATCTTGTGTCCACCTGGGGGCAGCCATCTTGTGTCCACATGGGGACAGCCGTCTTGTATGTTGGAGTCGCAGTCAATTTGCATGTTATTCTTTTATTAGATAGGACAAGAGCAGCCCTGACTCCATTCCTGTGTTAGGTCTCATGCTAAGGAATCTACACCTCATAACTACCCTGTAACATGTGGGTGTCACTTAATGACAGGTGAGGAAACAGGCTCTGAGATACCCCCCCCCCCCCGCCTGCCCCTACAGGTCACCATGGGAGGAAGAAGTGTCAGAGATGTCAGGACTGTGTCCTAGCCAGCAGTTCCAGCCAAGGCCCATAAGAGAAACTTCCGAGGCCTGGAGTCAGGCCTGTTCTCTCATCCATCACTTGCCCTGGATAAGGGGATTATAGTTGCAAAGGATATTTGAGGCCTTGGCATCTAGTACAGAACTTGAAAATTCATTCATTCATTCACTCATTTATTCATCTGTCTATATTATTGAAAGTGTTACATAGGTTCCCCTTCTTCCCCTATTAACCTCTTCCAGCCCACTCCCGTCCCCTTCCCCCAAGTGCTCACCACCCCATTGTCTGTGTAAAAAGATTTTTCAACTTTGTATAGTGGAATGGTGTCTTTGAAAACTACTTTGATGTGTAAATGCAATCTAGAAATCCAGAGTTCAGCCACTGTGGTTGAAGGTAGGGGCCTGAGACTCCCCTAAGGCCCCCAGAACTCCCCGTGACTTTGGATGAAAAGAACTAGGCAGGATTCTGGGGTTGTGTGTGTATGTGTGTGTGTGTGGGAGGGAAGAGGTTGTGTGGGGGTGTGTGTATGGAAGATTGGGGGGTGGCTATCCCTCCTGGGTTACTCAGGATCGGGCAAGGCCCAGATGCAGGCCCATCTGAGCTGGACACCACCTTCCCATCCCCTCCACTCCCCCCCCCCCCCCGTCCCCCCAGGCCAGGCCCTAATAGGCCTGGCCAGCTGCACCAAGGAGAAGAAACACTGACACCATCTTCCATTGACTTGATTTTATTGTCTACAGACGAGGATCACAAAGCCAAAGACTTCCGCAGCCCCCTCCTTGCTTGTCCTTCTAAAAGTCACTGGGTGGTGGTGGTCCGTCCAGACCAAAGTTCTGCAGTCCCGGCCCATGACGGTGCGGCTCCTCCGCCGGTGGCGGTGGCTCACAGGGACAGCATCAGCCCGTACTCCTTCTGGTATACGTCGGGGATCCTGCCGAGCGGGGAGTCGATCATCTTCACGGTGTTCCTGGCGAAGAGCTTGAACTCGTAGACGATCAACTGCTCCCAAAAACTGTTGTTCGGACGTATCACAGGCCGGCAGGCCCGCGTCCAGGTGTGGGCTTCGAGGAGCGAGAGCGAGTGGTGCTTCATGAGGAAGGCCATGCACACGGTGGCCGAGCGGCTGATGCCCGCGTGGCAGTGCACCAGCGTGCGGCCCCCGCGCAGCCCCACCGCATGGATGCAGTCGGCCACCGCGTCGAAGAAGTCGCCGATGCGGGCGCCGGGCGAGTCGCTCACCGGGAACTTCAGGTATTGGATGCCCTCGATGAACGTGTTGATGATTTCGACCGAGATGTTGATGACGGTGGTGATGCGGTTGGTGGCGAGCAGGTAGCGGTTGTTAGCGGCCGCGGCGTTGCCTATGTAGAGGCTGCTGGTGAGCTGGGACAGCTCGCGCGTCCTCAGGGGATGCGGCAGGCTCTGCGCCCGTGGTGGTGGCGGGGGCGGTGGTAGTGGTGGCGACGATGACCAGGATGGCGATGGCGACGATGGCGATGGTGAGGATGGCGATGGCGGCGATGGTGGTGGCGGTGGCGTCGTCATCGAGGCGGCAGGCAGGATGTCTTCTGGGCCGGTTGGGGGCGCCACTCCCACTGCAGTGCTGTGAGGCCTCTGGATGGGTCTGAGGGCCGGTGGGCAAGTCGCTGGTTATCACCCCTCCTGCCCCCGGGCGTCACAATCCCCTCCCGCCCACGCCACTGGTTTCCGTGGCAACGGCGGAGGGCTTGGCCTGCGGGTCAGGTCTTCAGAGAAAGCCCTCCCTGGTCCAGAGCATCACAATCCCTTACCCCAGCCCAGCCGTTTCCATGGCAACGCAGTTAGCCACCGGGAGGACTTGGCCTCCAGGCCAGGTCTTCAGAGAAAGCCCAGATCTATTCTTCTTTCTTTTCCAGATTTATCCTTGGCTTTCTTCAGAGTCCTTCACTTTCCAATGCCAGTGCTGCTTTTGTACATTTCAATTACAGTTGACATTCAACATCCAAGTCTTGATGTTTTAAAAATGTTCTGTTACCAGATATCTATTTTATGTTTTACTTGTTGAACCACAATATGTGTGAATGCTTCTGTTTTACTGGTATTGTAGAACAGGCTTACTTCTTTCTTTCTTTCTTTCTTTCTTTCTTTCTTTCTTTCTTTCTTTCTTTCTTTCTTTCTTTCTTTCTTTCTTTCCTTCCTTCCTTCCTTCCTTCCTTCCTTCCTTCCTTCCTTCCTTCCTTCCTTCCTTCCTCCTTTGTTTTTTAAGATATATTTTTATTGATTTCATAGAGGAAGGGAGAGGGAGGGAGAAATAGAAATACCAATGATGAGAGAGAAGCATGGATCGGCTGCCGCCTGCACACTCCCCACTGGGGCTGGAGCCCACAACCTGGGCATGTGCCCTGACTGGGAATCAAACCGTGACCTCTTGATTCATAGGTTGATGCTCAACCACTGAGCCACACTGGCCAGGCTGGGCTTGCACTTTTCCTACAAGGGAGCAGTATCGTATTTTAAGTTGGGGAACGCATTTGGTTCATGTGATATGCTAATCTCTGAAAACCTGCGGTAAGATATGGGTTTGGCTGGCTTTGTGGGCCGGCCTGACGTGTCAGCTGATTGTAGCCATAGAGTCATGCTCCTGTTTATGAACGCCTCAGCACTGGCTTTAGGGGAATATTGCAAGTGGCATATCTAGCCCTCTATCTATAGCGAAGTTGGCCCGCAGTGGACAGTTGTGACTAATTTAGCTGTGTCACAGTCCATTTGTGCGTATGGCTCAAATGATTTATCACTTGATTTTACTTTATTACCTGAAACAACAGTTCAAATTATCTTGTCTACTTTCTTGAAAAAGAATGCCAGCGTGCTCTGTAAACTACAAATCATTCTGACCACCACTGATGGTGTCTCCCAGTAATGGTAAACATTCTGGGACAAGTCAATGCTACATCATAATTGGGCCGGAAATTGATTTTTAAAATGTGACCCGAGGCTTACATTTGATCTCAGCTCAGATTTTTGTAGAACTTGACTGAAGATTCCAAAGAGCTATAACCTAAACACATCATTTTGCCCAGCAGCTAATGGAGACATCACTTCGCGCCTGCGCCTTGTCATTTTGGGTTGGGATGCGAAGGTGTACTGTGACTGTGAACAGGGATAAAATGGAGGCCAGCCTGGTTAGGAATGATCAAGGAAACCATAACCTCAAAACAGAACACACTTCTCTTTTTCTCAGTTGTTATCATCAGATTGTTTTTCATTATTTAAATCGTCAGACCCCACAAGTCTATCCAGGAGAAAAGAAAACCCAAATCCTAAATAAATAGAAAATTGTCTGTTGGGGAGAGCTCAATTGGGCTAAAATTGTTTCAAAGGGTTCAATCTAACATTTGAGATAGGCATCATGGGAGCTTTGTAATCTATGGGCTAATGTGAAAGCCCGTTAAAAAGTGTTAGGGTTATTTCATAAATATATGCTTCTTAAAGTTTAAAAAGCTATATTAATAAAAGGGTAATAAGCTAATTAAACTGGGAGACCTCCCAGGAGGCCTTCTGGATGTTCTTCTGGACAAAGCCATGGTGACAGGGCCGAGGTAGAGGCAGTTAGGGGCCAAGAGGGGAGGGCAGTTGTGGGTGATCAGGCTTGTGGGGGACGTGGCCATTGGGGGGTAAGCAGGGGGGCAGTTGGGGGCAAGGAGGCCCTCAGTGGGGGGTCAGTTGGAGGTGATCAGGTCAGTGGGGGGGCAGTTGGGGGCAAGCAGGCCAGTGGGGAGGGAGGGGTGGTGAGCAGGGCAGCAGCAGGCGCAGTTGGGGGTGAGCAGGCCAGGATGGGACAGCTGTTATGAGTGATTAGGCTGGTGGGGGGTGGGGCCGTTGGGGGTAAGTAGACCAGCAAGGGGGCCAGTTGGGGGCTAGGAGGATGTCAGTTGGAGGTGATCAGGATAGCGAGGGGAGGGCAGTTTGGAGTGAGAAGGCCAGCAGGGGTACAGTTGAGGGCAAGCAGGCCAGCAGTTGGGGGCGAGCACACTGGAACAGGTGGCAGTTGGGGTGACCATGACAGCAGGGTAGGCAGTAAGGGTTGACCAGGAAGGTAGGCAGGTGAGTGCTTAGGAGCCAGTGGTCTAGGATTGTGAGAGTGTGCAGGCTGAGCTGAGGACCCCCCCCCCCCCCCCCACACACACACATGCACGAATTTCATGCACTGGGCCTCTAGTGTAAATAATATTAACCAAAATAATTTCATTCATTTCTCCCAAGACAAGCATGACTTGTATTAAATAGATGTATTGATTTATTTTTACATCTGATATTCATTCCATGATGTCATCAAATTCCACCATAGGGCTTCTTCTGAGTAGGTAAGTTGACCTCTCCTCTTCCTGAGTTTGGAAACAGGTCACTTTCAGATTCCCACTTGTCTCTGCTTTTCCTAATTATTTAGGGAAGAAGATGTATAAAAGACTCACCCTAGAACACACTCTCTTCCTGCCACTGGGAGAAGACTGTGCATGTCAAGAACTAGATAATGGTTAGATTCCTCAATTCAGCAGTCAAGGCCCTTTCCAAGCTGATCTAAGCCTGCTTTTCAAATTTCATTTATTCATTGATTCACCACATTTTTGTAATTAAGAAGCTGGTGTGCTAGGCATTTTCACCTATGTAAGTCTTCAGTTCTGACCAAGCAAGTCAAATGTTCTTTTAAAAAAATATTTTTATTGAATTCAGAGGGAAAGCGAGAAGAAGAGAGAGATAGAAATATCAATGGTGAGAGAGAATCATTGATTATCTGGGGATGGAGCCTACAACCCGGGCATGTGCCCCTGACTGGAATCGAACCTGGGACCTTTCAGTCCACAGGCCGATGCTCTATCTACCAAGCCAACCCAGCTACGGCTCAAATGTCCTTGGTAAATACAAAATATACATTCCTCCTTCCTTACCTCTGCTTACTCCATTCTTTTCTTTTGAGAAAACCTTCTCGCTCCTGTCTGCTTCCTGAAGCCTACCCAAGCCTCAAGACTCAGCCTGAATAACTTTTTGAAAAAGCATCCAGTCTGTGTCAGGTACAGTTCAGGCATTGTGTAGATCCAACACAACACACAGACCCAGATATCAAAGAGGTTACAGTTTGGTCAGAGCGCTAGAACATCATGAAAGATTCAGAAGAGAGGCTGATTCATTGTGCTGTGTGTGTGTGTGTGTGTGTGTGTGTGTGTGTGTGTGTGTGTTTGAGGACTGGGGGCAGTAGGGGAGGGTTAAGAAATTCTACACAGAAAACATGACCCAGAACAAAGCTTTTGGTTCATTTGTTTGTTTTTATTATTTATTGTTTATTCTGTTCAAGTTTTTTCTTTTTTAAGTGAAAGTGTGTTTATTAGTGAAGCAGTGAGACAGGGGGAAGCCACTCCACTGGCAGAATAGCTGTCCAAATTTTTGTTTTGAAAAATGTCAAACAGAGAAAAAACTTGGAAGAAGAGAACAATGAATATATTCCTCTACCCTCCACCAATAATTCCTCTGTTGCTAACACTTCACCACCACATTTCCTTCTTCTTCCTATTTAGATATGCAAACACACGTATTTGTTTGCTTGTTTCTTTCCTGAACCATTGCTTGTTAAATGGAGATACAGCAACACTTTCAGCCCTTCAGTACATATCTCTTCAGAACAAGTACAGTACATTTTCCTACATCACCACAGTACATTGATCATACACAGGAAATTTAACATTGACCTGACATTGTTATCTAATATACAAGAGACCTGGTGCATGAAACTCGTGCACGGGGGGGGGGGGGGGAGGGAGGGGACACGGGGGGGGGGGAGTGTCCCTCAGCCCAGCCTGCACCCTCTCCAATCTGGGACCCCTCAAAGGATGTTCGACTGTTCGTTTAGGCATGATCCCATCTATCCATATTCAAAACTCACCAATCCTCCCAATAACGCTATCTATACCTGATTTCCTCCCACCCCCACCCCCATTTGATTCAGGATGGGATCAAGGATCTCTTGTGTTTAGTTGTCAAGATTCTTTAGCATCTTTTAATTTGGAGCAGTTTCCAAGCCTGTTGTTTTCTTGTGCTTTGACTTGGTCTTTCCTGACATTGACATTTTTGAGGAATTGAGGCCAGTTTTGCAGAACATCTTTCTTTTTTTTAATTTTTAAAATATATTTTTATTCATTTCAGAGAGGAAGGGAGAAGGAGAGAAAGATGGAAACATCCATGATGAGAGAGAATCATTAATTGGCTGCCTCCTGCAACCCAGGCATGCGCCCTGACCTAGAATTGAACCATGATGTCCTGGTTCATAGGTCAATGTTCAACCACTGAGCCATGCCAGCAGGGCAGAACAACTTTCAGTTTGGATACTTTTGATCATTCCTTCTGGATTAGATTCAGATGAAATGTTTTTTGCAAGAATATCGCCAGTACATTGTCATTCCCAATACATTGTTAAGGTAAATACACAATATACATTCCCAGTACATTGCATTGGAGGCATATGATATCTGTCCTATTAATGATGACAATAATTTTGACCACCTGGTTAAAGAAGC